GGAGTGTCTGGTCACCGAGGCCAACGAAAGTGATGTTGGAGTGACCGAAGGCGCTCTGAGCACAACAAGAGCCGGCATTGCCAGAGGGGAACAAGCTGCCAAGGGCGTTCTAATGTTCCTGGAGCGACTCTCCAATCCCAGCAGCTACAAGCAGTCTAAGCAACACAAGAACAGTGACACAGCCGCAAGAATACTACCGTATCTAACTTATGGAGAGGAAGCGGCAATGGAAGTATTGGTGGATCACTTCCTGCCTTACTTACTGGACTGGGGAGCTTTTGATAAGCTGCAAAAGGAGCACGGTGAGAATCTGAAGGACGCTTCACTGGGTCAGAAAGCAGCCTTTCATCAGTTCGCTGTTGAGAATTTTGTGAAGGTAACGGAGTCGATCAAGCAAAACGACAGTGGCGAGCTACTTAAAAATCTCATACTTGAGAAGAAGATACTGACTGGTAAGAACTTTTTGAGTTTTTATTCATATCAACTTTGCTCTTGTGTTTATCTTCTGCAGTTGCCATACGGTATCTGAAAGACGCATTTCCTTTTACTGAAAAGAAAACAGATCTTCGGTCGTCACCCGAGTGGACACGATCTTTGGAGCTTCCATCGGTTCCGATTATCCTGTCCATGATGAGAGGATTATCTATCGGTCACTGCAAGACTCAAGAATGTCTTGACGAGGAAGAAGTTCTTCCTCTGCTCCACGCACTGGAGGGCATGCCAGGAGAAAACGAGATTGGAGCAAGAGCAGAAAATTTGCTGGACACCTTATCCGATAAAGAGACTTGCGGTGAAGGATTCCTTGCCGAGACGATCCTGAATTTAAGGGAGACAACACGGGACGAGATGAGACGACGTGCTTTGCAACGAAGGGAAGAGTTACTACAGGTAATACTCATCTTTCAAGCTGCGTTCCTTCGTTCTTAGACTTAGCTCACTTTTTTCCAGGGGCTGGGAATGCGCCGGGAGCTGAGGTCTGATGGAGGTGAGCGCATTGTCATATCAAAGCCTCGAATCGAAGGCCTTGAAGACGTAGAAGAGGAAGAAGCGGGACTGGCATGCATGGTTTGTCGGGAAGGCTACAAACTGCGGCCAACAGATATGCTGGGAGCTTACTCGTACAGCAAGCGTGTAAACATCGGTTCTGCGACTGTCCACGGTCGTCCAGAGTGGGTCTACACGACGGTCAGTCATTTCAACGTCATTCACGTCCAGTGCCACCAAGAGGCAAAGCGAGCCGACGCCTCCCTCAAGAATCCCAAAAAGGAGTGGGAAGGCGCAGCTATACGCAACAACGAGACCCTGTGCAACGATCTCTTTCCTCTGCGCGGCCCAGCAGTCGCGCTTGCGCAGTACTCCCGGTGCGTTGATACTTTCTGGGACAACTTAAACGCCCTTGGACGTGCGGATGGTAGCCGGCTGCGCTTGCTCACTTACGATATCGTCCTGGTACGTTTATTTCTTTTCCTTCTCATTTTACAACTTAACGCGAGCTTTCCTTCTGTAACAGATGCTGGGCCGCTTTGCAACGGGGGCCTCGTTCAGTGTCGATAGTAAAGGTGGTGGCAAGGAAAGCAACTCGAGGCTCTTGCCTTTCATGTTACAAATGGCCCGACATCTCTTGGACCAGCAGGGGCCGAGCCAACGCCGTGTTCTCGCAAAATCCTTACAGACGTTCCTCCAGGCATCGCCTCCCGAGACTGACGCCACCACTACTCCTCTTTCGAGAACCATCTCCAGCCCCGGCACGCCGGTCAGATCGGACGAGACAGTGCAGTATATGATGGTCCAGTCGCTGCTGCTACAATCCCACGACGAGTGGCAACAGCACAGGAAAACGTTTCTCCAACGAGGTGCTGTCCATGCCTACATGCTACACAAACAGGGAAGAGTGCTGCTCCAGCCGGCTTCTCCTCTTCCTGCCTCGACATCGCCATCTCCAGCGGCCAGGAACCCGATAGAGTTTGCTCTGAGCTTCAGCCCGGCAGCGGATATCAAGAGAACAGCGAGCTCGGGAGGACTCCAAGCTACATCAACTCCATCGCTCAGCAGCGAGCAGCTGTTTAGCATCCTCCAGCCGATGCTGGTGTTTATCGGGATCATCGATCAGCTCCAGAGATTTTTCAAGAGCCGGAGTGGTAGCGTCGTCGCCAACAGGAGTAGCAGCGGGAGTAGCAGTAGCAGCAGCGCCGGTGGGACTACCGACGATGGAACTGAGGCGTGGGAGGCCACCATGAAGGAGAAGCTCCGGGACGTGAGCGCCATGCTCGCCTTCTCCAAGGATTTGCTCGAGTGGCTGGAGGATATGCAGAGCTCGGCGGATCTGCAAGAGGCTCTGGACGTGATGGGGGCTCTGGGAGATGCTTTCTCGGCTGGTTTCTCGTCCTGCGACGAGTTTTTCAGGGACGCTCTCGGCTTGGCATCGCTTTGAAAATGATCTTCCTATATTCCGAGGGACCATGAAGAAAAAAGAAAAATCTCCATCGGTACGTAGCCCAGAAAGTTTTATATGATGCATTTCTTTTTTGTAGTGTATCTGAGAGGGGATTGTATATAAAAGAGCTATACGCTGTTCAGTTTAATAAGTACGTAATTAACTTAACTTGTCTATTCCATTTTGAGACACCATTGCATGCATTGAAACTTCGTTTTTTTCTTTAGTTGGTTCCACTCTAATTTTTTTTGTTGCTGAAATATCTTGTGGTGATATGCTTCTGTGTACGAATTATGTCCATTATGCAGTCTTATTGGCCTGGGCATGTATCAAAACCTTGTTTCCAGTTGCATGTTCTTTGAATGAAGAATCGCGCAGCGCGTTTGCAAGTCCAGGAACTGTAGCCTCAGCTACAGCTTCAACATGCAGGTTGGCTTCTCTTATATACCGAATGCTTTTACTCGCAAGGTTTTTGTAATAGATGCTGGTAAGCAGCAGTGGATGTATGTTGCAGGGGCAAAGAAAATAAGAAACGGAGCAGGGAGAATTGTCCTGGATCGAGCAGAAGAGGCGCGAATAGCTGCTTTCTCGGCCTTTCAAGCTCTTGGAGCAACGATTCCGCATTCGCTGTCACAGTCTTTATATGCCAGTGTTGAGAGGCCTCTGGCTGAGATGGACGAGATGGACGAAATGGCCATATCTCCAAAGCAAGACGATTCATAGCACTGACAAGGAAAACCGAGCAGTAATTATGCAAGAAACTGGTAACCATGGCGCCAATGCGTTTGGAGGCTTGCGGAAAAGAAGGCCAAGGACCCGATCTTGCCGCTGTCACATCTTAGATCTGGAAACAGGCCAATAAGACTGCTTCCCGATTTCAGGACCAGTGGAAAATTCTTGTTATGAACATCATTTTTAATTCAAAAAAGTGGTACTTCGATCTAATACTATTCATCTAAACATGGAAGTATTTGTTTTTTTTTTCTATCTTGATTGTGTTGATTTGATTGTTAATTCAATCAACAAAGAATACTCGATTTGTTTTGAAATTGAAAATATCACTCCATTTAGCTTTCTCCAATTCAATCTTCCAGAGCATCATGGATTCCTCGGCCTGGAGATCCTGTTCAAGCTCGAGAGCAAAATAAATGTCCCCCTCCATTGCCTCTGCCTGCTCCTCCTGAGAATCCCCCTCAAGCACAAGATCCTCATTGTCCACATTCTTTTGGAGGATTTGGCTCGTTTCCCCATTGCCAATTTGAATTTCTGCCAAGCCCTCCTTGTGCTCCAAAACATCATCAAGCACGAGATCTAGCATCTCCTCATCATCCACATCCTCAAGATTTGACGACAGAATTTCAGTCATCTCTTCGTCACTCACTACAATTTCTGCCACCTCAGGGAACACAAGAGGGATGTGTTCCTCCTCATTTGGGACTTCATTCTCCTCGACCAGTGCCATGATTTTAGCCACCTCCAGGTCATCCATGTCAAAATCTTCCATGTCCTGGATCACTGCCCCAGCTTTATCAGCCTGTTGACCACTCTGCTTCGCTTGACTTTCGTGGACCAGCGAACCCTTCTTCCTCTCGTCTTCAAATGGAGCGCGCTTGAGCTTCTTCTTCTCATGTGCCATGCCAACTTCCCCAGTGCTGCTTGATCTTGGCCGCTTCATGTAGGTTGGTCTTGTTTTTCCGCCATAAGTGAATTTTTTCTTGCACTGACTGCAGCGATACCTTGGCTGGCCAATGTTGTCGTTATTGAAGTAGTCGAAGTTGCCGCACTCACTGCGATTGCACTTCATACAGGTCGGGTGCTGCTGTTTCAGGTACGATTTCAGCTCACCCACGCTTCCAAACTGGAGGCTACTCTGCTGGGAGGACGAAGACCAAAACAGTGGGTAGTTCTGGAGAAGATGGAGCTCCTTGTACACCTTGCTGCTTTTGTTTGGCATCGCTGCTGGCTTCTCTGCTGAAAGGACAACCAGTGAAAACCTAAAATATGTCCTTTTTTACAAGCTTAAGGGATGAAATGTGTGTTTAAAGTTTTGGGTAAAGGGAGTTTTATTAAACATCGTTTAATTTCCACCCGAGTCCGGTTGCGTCCTTTTGTGCGACCTTCTCAGGCATCCCAAAATTTAGCGCATGACTGTTGCGGAGTTTTTGGAACGGAGTTGAGGCTCCACGCTTGTTGATGTAAGCTGGTGCCCCAGAAGGAGGCTTTCTTCAAGGTACTTAATTCTTCCACCTAGATTTTCTTCTTTTTCATGTTGCAGGCTGTCGGAAATATGTATCAACAGTTGTCCGAGGAACTTAGCTGGATCAAGGTTGAAAAGGAGTTGCTTCATCAGAGCAGGAGGTAAATCGAAGCTGGTTAAGGCAGACTTTCCTTTTGTGATTCAGTTTAAAACACTTGACTTGAGAGCAGGACTGACTTGAGAGCAGGACTGACTTGAAAGATGGCTTACCAGCCGGGACCTGCAAATACATGCTGCGCAGGTGCAAACTTTGTCATCGAGCAGGCAATGAAATGACAAGCTTTACAAGCATGACGGTAGTCTCCTCAGTTCGTGAGTGCAAATGCTTTTATTTTTTGTTGTTCTCCCCATACAAGGCCCGATTTCAAGCTACAATCCCAAGCAATTCTAATCTTAGCCTTGATCGTGTCACAATGGTCTCCTCCACACAGGAAATCCCACCATGATCGCGAATAATATTTTCCTCTTTAGAACATGATGCCAAGCTAAATCGATGGATTCCTGGACGGCATGATAGACAGGACCAAGAAGAGCATGACCCATGCGTGCACCTAGAGGAAGAGGTCAATGGATCCTTCAATCTGGTCGGAGCTCATCAACTCCCAATCCCCATGCTCTGCCGCTTCGGGTCCCTCTCGAATGATTGGTATAGCGCGCGACACACCTAGCTGCGTCGGGAACACCATGTCGTAAGAAAGCTGCTTGGCTCATGCACAGCGCTGAAAAAACTAAAACCAAGTGTGAAGAGCTTAGAAAACTTACAGTTGAGAACGCACGGCAATGACTTGTCAAGACGTTGTCAAAACTCCTTCGAAGGTAGCACCTTGTCCAAGTACGTGAGTACACTGAGAAACAAACCAGAGCTGAGTTAGCTTCCAAAGAAGTCACACGAACCTGGTCAAGTAGCAAATCGTGAAAGAGAAAAGTGGATCATCGGCATGCATGGGAGCTTTCAAAGTGGCCACCGTTCCTGCCAGGTTTGCGTCTCACCTCGCACCACTGCAACGACAATGTAAATAACTAATCGATGCAAACCTCTTCACTATCTGCATATCGAGCGCTAAGTCGAAAGAGAAAGAAAAAAGAAGAAAAACTCACCGCGAGCTGAGATCAATCGCCTGCAAGCGAGCAATGTTTCCAACAACACAGCGAATTTCTATAAATTGCTGGATAGAGAAACACGAGCTGAATCAAAAGAACAATCGACGAGCGACTGTAACAACTAACATACTCACCAGCCATAGGATAGCCTGGTTTCTCTCCTTAGAGTCGAGCGAGTAACATTGTGCGTCTTTTTCCTCCAATACTGCCGGAGTTCCCAGTTTTCAAGATCAAAGAACTCTAACGCCGGTGGACATGCTACAAGGACAAACACATCACACTACTCCAAGAGAGTTACCTCAGGAATGTTTGCAAGCTTTGCAGGATTTGGCTTCCCGACGGCAAGAGTGTATGACTTTTTTCTTGCGCTCTTCACCATTTTCTTTACATTCCGTATAGCTCCGGCTGCGAGGAAGTCCAGGTGTTAGAGAAATGCCGACCAACATCGAGTGTTATGCCGACAATGTTTGCATCCTTTGGTACGCTCGATTAAATAGTACCTGGAACCAAAGTCGAGGAACTTTACTGGTTGCCAAACTCTTCGATGCAATCGTCTAGATCTCAAGTTCTAGAAATCATTAAAAGGTATCTATCTACCTGCATATTCCGATGATCGCAAACCACAGTACTCCAGGCTCCGTAGGAATTTCGTTCTCCTGGCTGATTGAAACACAGCACTGTCAGAGCTACAAAGGAAAGAAATCCAAGAACTCCATAATTCCACCTGGAAGATGTTGCGAGGGATGAATTGGATACGCCACAACGATTTCCTTGGGAAAATTCCAGCGGAAATCGTTGCTCTTGAGCAGCACAGGCTGCCGCATTTCGACAATCAAGAAGCCTCCGCGCTCTGGATGGAAATCGCCTGTGCTGTAGCGGCGGCACTGCAGTCCCTAATCCAGAATCCGAGCTGAGAGAGGAGTATCGGAGATGCGCGGCATACGTTCAGCGTACTGGCGCGTGGTAACGCCAGTGCTCAGCCTCGCCATAGCCTGGAACCCTAAATTTCCATTCCTTTAGCCCGTTAAACCCTAAACCCAAACATGATAGATAAGTTTACTTTAATAAAAAGTGTTACGCTTTAATACAAAAGACAAGAATATTCTCCTTCCTGCCTGTTGGACATCCTGCAAAAGAAAAGAAGAAGAAGCGTGAGATAGCCGATCAAATGAGAGTATACTTACATTGCCCTATTGCTTCCCTCTGCCCTTGAGGCCTCCTCCATAGCGATCGAAGCTCCAAAATCCCAGGAGCTCGAAACAAAGTAGTGCCAGAGAGCTCTCTTGCAAGAGCCTAGCGAGCTCAAAGTCCCTACCTTTCTAGCTCAAGCATCTGATTCCTGCTTTCTTGGCCTTTCAAGCTCTTGGAGTAACAATTTTGCATTCGCTGTCAGAGTCTTTATATGCCAGAGTTGAGAGCCCTCAGGCTGAGACGGATGAGATGGCCATATCTCCAAAGCAAGACGAGGGCAAAGCTGACGTTCATAGCACTGACAAGGAAAACCGAACAATAATTATGCAAGAAAATGGTAAGTCATTTGGGACTTGTGGAAATGTGTTATAACAACTCACCACATTCGAGTATCGAGGTGAGTCCATGGGAAGTCATCAATGGGCGAGCTATTGAAGGTCCTGTGGAGCTCGGCGTGGCTAAGTATCATGGGGAGTTACCCGCAATGGAGGCATTCACAGCGGAAAGACTCAACATTTAGAATCTAGTGAGGGATTCCTTGGAACGAGCTCAACAAAGGCAAACTAAGTATGCGAACTAGAAACATCGGGATGTAGAGTTCCAAGCTGGGGAGAAGGTGTGGCTAAACACCAAGAACCTAATGCTACCAAGTGGGATCAGCCGAAAGTTGACCCAAAGGTAAAAATGCATGTATTCCATAAATGAATTGATCTTGAGTTCCTTAAGCAGGTTCGTGGGGCTTTATGAGATTGAGGCACGAATCGGTAAAGTGGCTTACCATCTCCGACTTCCTCAAGAGATGGGGAAAATGCACCCCGTGTTCCACGTGAACTTACTCAAGCCATACTTTGAGGATCCGCTTCGCAAGGACCAAGTAAGGCTTTTACCTGAGGTTATCCAAAGGGAAGAGGAATACGAAGTCGAGGCCATCCTCAATGCGCGTAGGAGCAAACGACAAGGACGCGAGGTGAGAGAGTTCCATATGAAGTGGAAAGGATTTCCACACTACGAAGCGATATGGGAACCGGAAGAGAACCTAGCAAACACACGAGATCTAGTGGAGGAATTTCTGCAAGGCAAAACTCTATGTACTTATGCAAAGTTCAATTAAAAGTATCAATTGGTGAAGTTGAGCAATGGCATATGTTGGGACCCGAAGGTGCGCCGAAGGTAAGCTAATTAGCATGGGTTAACTAGGTCGACCAGGCGTAGGACACTACGCCCAACTCCCTGCAGGGATGTCGAATCCGTAGACATATTCTACGGAGGTTGGGTTTGAGTCCCAACCCCCTAGTAAAGCAAGGCTGGGTTCAAGTCCCGACCCCATACTACGACTCAGTTTAGCACTAAGAAAGCTACTTGAAACGAGTTATCCCAACATAAGAACTCGCAAAAAATTGGCAAACGAGCAGAAGTGTAGTGTAAACTTGACTGTATCATGACAAGAAAAGAGGGAAATGAAGAACCCATCTAGATCGCGATTATCTTCTTTCCAAAACTAGACCTCGGAGAGAAATGCCAATGCGCTTTGTTCATCGTCCACTGTCCAGAGCGGCAGGGCGTGGTGAGGTGAGGAATATAGAGACACCTATATTTCGTTGTCATGGGCTCTTGGCCGGGGAGGCTAACTTAGGCACACCGCTAAGTGGAGGGGGGCGCTGCAGGGGGTTCCAAAAGTATAGTAGGGATAGTGAGGTCCAGGAACCAATTTTGAAGGAACTCTCTAGTGGGGCTTCCAAACTGACTTGAGGTTGAGATTGGGACCAAGGGGCCTTGGGTGGGAGTGAGCATGGACTCGGTTGGTGCTAGAGGGGCCATCCAAAGAAGTGCTCAAGAGCAGCTCCCACTCCCGAAAGGGAAACCGACTGCGGTGCTCCCGGCTCATGTGGAGTGGTGCCCCACTTGAGTACCATGCGGCTCATTGGTCCTCGCCCTTCCTAGGGGCTTGGACCTTCCCTTCGGGATGGAAGTGGGGGGGTAGAGGTACCCATACCGGGCCGCTAGGCCACGGTGTTTCGCCCCGGCGTCCCGAAGCAAGTGTTGCACCCAAGACTTGGGATTTAGAAGGTCCCATAATCAAGTCTTGTGGTACCAAGGGATGTTAGGAACCTGGAAGCTTGGTGTGCTTGGCTACTTGTGCTTGCGAGGAGTGTAGCCGAACCTTAAGTCCAGTCTAACCCGGGGAGGGGGATTGAGAGTGATTTGGGAATCCGTGGATGGATGGCTAACACTCCATTGCTCGTGCAGTGAGTAGCTAAAACCAAGTAGGACCAAGTAGGAGTTGGTACCATAGGCAAGAATCTTGGCGAGGGAACTTAGCAAAAGCCAAGGCAGTGTTGGACGGATAGACAAGGTAAACTGGCAAATTGGAAAAGAAAAATTTGTGGCTTACATGTACCTTAATAGCGATATCTAATGCTTCCTTGTAGTTGGTCAGATTCTAGTGCATCACCTCACTTCGAACCCAAGTCTGCAAGCCTAATATGAAGGCATAGAACACATCCATCTCACCCATATTTATGACAAGGATCCTTTTAGCCATAAATGCATTCATATACTCTTGAATAGTTTCTGTCTACTTTAGCCTACTCAACTCATCCCTTAGATACAGAGTAGCATTTGGAAGGACATAAGTTGTAGAGATCCTCACCTTCATCACTTTTCAAGTGGCCACCGATCCTTCATTGGCATTTATCATTCTCCACCAAGACTTAATATTATTTGTTAAGTATGGTTTTATATATGGGACTTTTTCTGAGTTTAATAATTACAACGCTTGGAAGTAATCCTCCATGTTGTAAAACTAATCCTCTACCACCTTATAGTCATTTACTCCTTTTGAAGATCAATAGGGGCTTTAGTTTGTACTTGGGAACTACTTGAGGGATTGATTTTACTTCAGTTTGTTTAACCTTGTTTGATTCTGCCTCAATCCTCGCCAAAGGGTCCATACCTTTTGTATTGCCCACATCTACAGTCTTTTATCTTTTCTTCCACTTCTTATTATACTTTAGCTTGCATATGAGGGTCTTTAGCAAGGCATTTGTTTGTGCCACTTGTCCTTCTAAAGTGTCCAATCGAGCCTTGGACAACTGAACCTCACCACTAGACTCATGTTTGGAAGTTTCCTCACTGGAGTCCTCCTCATGCAAGGATTCTTCATCTATAGCTTCTTGTTCAACCAAAGGTTCTATCTCTACTTTAGTCTACTTATACCCTGCCTTAGCAATCTTTTAGCAATCTGCCTCTATCCTTCATTAGAACTAAGGAAAAGGCTCTAATACTAAATTATAAGCCATAATTTTTTCATTTTCAATTTGCCAATTTACCTTGTCTATCTAACCACTATTGCTTTGGCCTTAATTAAGTTCCCTTGCCAAGGTTCCCACCTAATGTACCAACTTCTACTTGATCTTATTTGGATTCAGCTACTCACTATTGCATGAGCAATAAAGTGTTAACCATCTGTCCATAGATTCCCAAATCTCTTCTTAATTCCCCTCCCCATGTTAGGTTGGACTTAAAGTTTGGCTACCCTCCCCATAAGCACAAGTAACCAAACACATAAAGCTTTCAGGTTTTTAACATCCCTTGGTACAACAAAACTTAATTATAAGACCCTCTAAATCCTAAGTCTTTAATGCATTTTTTATTTCGAGACCCTAGGGAAACACTGTGGCTTAATAGCCCGGTATAGGTACCCATACTCCCCCACTTCCATCCCAAAGGGAAGGTTCAAGCCCTTAGGAAGGAGTGAGGATTAATAAACTATATAGTACTCAAGTGAAGCACCATTTCATATGAGCTAGGAGCACCACAATTAATTTCCCTTCCAAGAGTGGGAGTTGTTTTTGAGCATTTCCTTGAGTGGCTTCTCTAGCACCACCCGAATTTATACTCACTCCCACCCAAGGCCCTTAACCCCTAACCTCAACCTCAAGTCAATTTGGAAGCACTATTGAAAAGTTACTTCAAGATTGGTTCCTAGACCTCAACTATCCATATTATACTTTTGGAACCCCTTGTAGCGTAGCTCCCACCCCCCTTTGGGAGACAATTGCTTTGGGCTTTCACCCCACAACTGCATTAGTATTCGGACTCGGTTTCGGACTTGATCTTGGATCTCAAACTTAGTCTCGAACTCCATCTCAAACTTGGTCTTATCTAATGAACTCTTTATCATTCTAGTCATGGTTTCAGGGATCCTTTAGCTTATGACACCTTGGGGAGTTGGTTCCTTATAGGTACTAGATTGTGAATCGAGACATAAGAACAATATTATGGTGTTTAAGACACACTTTACATTTTGTTAATATGCCCCACTTACAAATCTAAACATTTAGTATAAATAGTATGTAGAACCAAAATAAAACCAACACATGAGGCATGATAGAAAAGGTGTTTAGCAAACACAATAACTTATCATATTATTGTGATATTGAGGGACTAAACTTAATACACAAGGATTTTTGCTAAATTAGTGCAAAATATAGCAAAAATAACTAAAAGCTAGAGCAAATATATTCAACCAAAAACACATAAGAGTTCTTACTTTATATTTATCTAGCTAAATACAGGTGCTAAACCCAATTTACTAAAACTTGGATAAAAGGGGCTAATAAAAGGAATTAATAGTAATGATTTCTTGCCATTGTGGCAATAAAGAAAGAATATTTATAAGGATTATCCAACAAATATCTTTCCATAACTAAAATCACATTTACAACACCTTATGCTCTCTTTTTCTCTCAAGCCACAAAACTCTACTATTAACTACCGTTTGCATACAATGACCTTATGATGCCATGGAGAGAGGGTTGAA